GTAAAAAAAAAAAAAAAAAAAAAAAACTGTACAAGACCGAAGGGTTCCAAGGTCAGACGGGGGGCGTGCTGTAACGGATCTCCATGCTAAACTTGGGCACGGGAGGCGTTGGAGGAGGTTTCTGCTTTTTCAGGAGCATGTTGTGCTTGACGATGGTCTCCTCGTTGGCGTAGACGGGCGCATCGGCGTCGTCCGAATGGTAGCCCGACTGGTAGCCGCTCGTCTGGTTGGATGACTCGGACGCCAGCGACTCTTTGCTTTTGCAGCGCAGGAGCTGGCTGATTAGGGGATGACATGACAAGTTGTCAATCAAGCACGGACCTCAAAACAGTGAACCGCTATTTATCGCACGCTCTTAAGACGAATATTTTGACTTAATTCCTGTAACTTTAAGACGTTTTCCATAAATTTCAAAGCAGAGTTTTAGCTTGATAGCGCTTTAGCTTGACGTAGCTTGGTTACTTACCTCAAGTTGGGCGTCGTTAGGAGCTGTGGACTCGAACCTTTTGCTTCCTCGGGTGAACAGTCCATGTGACCCACCTATATGAATGATGGAAAAAAAAGGTCTCTTAAATTCTGTTAATTTCATAATTGGTTAGTTGTCAATTAATTGATGAATCGTTTTCCTTCAAACAGAGAGGTGCTTGTTTACAAAAGTAGAGGCAGTCTTGTCAATTTTGAGATTTGGTCGCTTTGTGTATTATTACCTCGGAGTCTGTCAACAGTTGCCAGCTAGCTAGCGAGCTAGCTGCTGGTCGAGTATAACTTCACGGCATATTCTTGAGCATGGCATGATTTTCTTAACACCTCGTTTTTCCACCTTGGCGCTCATGTTTAAGATATCAATGCCGTGTGCTGTTTTTTTACATTCGGTACGTTTCTACTGTCGCAATGTGTCACACATGAAAAGTTATTCCACTAAAGTTTGGATTTTATTCTAGCGATTTAAAAACTTTCCGTTGTTTTTTTTTTGTTTTTTTTTGTACGGGTTATAGGAATTTTTTTTTGGTCAGCATTTTTCACATTTATTGTTTCAATCATTAATGTATGAAATACAATCCAATAGATGACGAGAATCACTCACCAAGACGCTGCTTTGCTCCACGGGGACGTCGTCAAACGTCTTCATGCACATTTCGCCCTGCCTGGACCCCAAAGACACACCCAAACATCAGTGGACGAGCACACGTACCACCGTTATGGAAGGGAAAATTTGGATTATACATGACGCAGACCCGAGAAACAGAGCATTGTCATAGTGCGGCTGAGCTTCCAGGATGTCTCTGCTCTGAGACGCGGCGGAACCCGGCACTCCTGCCACGTCGCCTTCTGCCGTCAGGGGGATGTAGTCCTTGCCGTCCTGGAGGAGAGATCGCCTTAAGTTGGGCTAAATATTAAACCAAAATGTCTGCCAGGGGGCATATTAGGCTATTGTTTTAGCGAAAGGTTCAATGTTGATACCTGACGAGCGCTGGCCTGCAGCAGGTTACCCAGATGCTCCACCAGTTCTGCGAAGGTGGGCCTGTCCGTGGGGCGGTCCAGCCAGCAGTCCAACATGGTCTGGTATCTGCCAATGAAGTGGTTTTTCGAGGGCTCAGACTGGCAATCGTTGTGAGCTGTTCATAATGATCTCCTTGTCACTCACATTTCGGAAGTGGCGTACTCTGGTGGTCTCATCCTTGTGCCTTCTTTAAGCCGTCGACAGAAAGTCTCGTCGATGCACACGCCAGGATAGGGAGAAGCGCCTGGAGATGGGAGAAAAGTCACTTGGGAGGAAACTGGAGTACCTGGAGAAAACCCACGCAGGCACGGGAGAACATGCGAACTCCACACAGGAAAGCCGGAGCCGAGAATCGAACTCTGGACCTCTGTATTGTGAGGCGGACATGCTAACTAGTGGACTAGCGTGCCGCCCAGAGCCCGTTGTGGTTTTCACAATTTAAAAGAGTTCACACTTAGTTTCAAGCTCAGTCACGGAGCACGTTAAATTTGTAAGTCATGGGACCATTGGTATACCACAAAACAAAATATGAAGAGATCCCCTTCCCGGATGCACAGTAATCCTCTTAAGTGTCATGCGGCCTCGTTGGTTTTACCCAGTGAAAAGATCTCCCAGAGAAGGACCCCAAAGGACCAAACATCACTTTGCGTGGTGTACACCCGGTCGAAGATGGTCTCCGGCGCCATCCACTTCAAAGGGAGCCTTGCCTATGGTGGGAAAAAAAACCACAGAGATGTCAATTGCGATATGTATGTCAGTGTTGTGAGTAAGATTAACCGGTTGTAGCAGCTAATTCAAGATTATTTGTCAGGAAACTTTGAAACGCGCCCCCCGCTGACTTCAAACAGAGAGGTGCTTGTTTACAAAAGTAGAGGCAGTCTTGTCAATTTTGAGATTTGGTCGCTTTGTGTATTATTACCTCGGAGTCTGTCAACAGTTGCCAGCTAGCTAGCGAGCTAGCTGCTGGTCGAGTATAACTTCACGGCATATTCTTGAGCATGGCATGATTTTCTTAACACCTCGTTTTTCCACCTTGGCGCTCATGTTTAAGATATCAATGCCGTGTGCTGTTTTTTTACATTCGGTACGTTTCTACTGTCGCAATGTGTCACACTCTTCGCAATAATCATCTCGAAAAGGATTGAAGGAAATAGCTTCACATATATCTCGTGAAATGACCCAGTTAACAAGGATAAGATTTGTTTAGCAGGACTAATGATATCCAAAAACAGCGTTTGATCTCCACCTAGGATACATTTGACCTTGGGAATTTTTCCAAGGTCGCATCATAGAAGAAATGGAGGCGGATTCCAGATAACAAGCATAAGGAGTAGCCAAGCCACGCAGTTTGACTGGTCGTTTTATTTTATGGATGTTGTTACTTATGAAGTTATGTCAGAAAAGGTCTACTGGTTTCACAAAAAAATACATTCCAAATCCAAATTTAAAAAACCACAACCCAAGAAATCGCACTGAAGTTAGTCGTCCTTTCCTAGCCTTCGATGTAAAGAGTTCACACTTAGTTTCAAGCTCAGTCACGGAGCACGTTAAATTTGTAAGTCATGGGACCATTGGTATACCACAAAACAAAATATGAAGAGATCCCCTTCCCGGATGCACAGTAATCCTCTTAAGTGTCATGCGGCCTCGTTGGTTTTACCCAGTGAAAAGATCTCCCAGAGAAGGACCCCAAAGGACCAAACATCACTTTGCGTGGTGTACACCCGGTCGAAGATGGTCTCCGGCGCCATCCACTTCAAAGGGAGCCTTGCCTATGGTGGGAAAAAAAACCACAGAGATGTCAATTGCGATATGTATGTCAGTGTTGTGAGTAAGATTAACCGGTTGTAGCAGCTAATTCAAGCCTGGAAACTGTAGCAGATCAGGTCCTCCATGGTCAAGTGGTCATCGTCTGTACTCTCTGAAATGCATGGTGGGTGTTCGAAACGACCAAACCCGGGGTGCAAGAGAAGCTCAAACTGGATTTACGTACCATCCTGAGGATCCAGGTGGCTGCCTGACGCTCTGTCGGCCGTACCCGTGCAGATCTCCAGCTCGGCGATCTTCCCGAGGCCGAGATCACATTCGGTCACATGGTCTTCCACGGATGTCCACCTTTTGCTGTCCGTATTCTTTCTCTGAGGACCACAAAAGAACAAGAATGAATATCCAGTTGCTATCCCGTGCCATCTTGGATCCATCTACCTTGTACGGACTGTATTCCCCACGTTTGCTCTTCAGGTAGCTGGAGAGGTTTCCATGTTTGCAGTACTCAACGATGACCATGAGAGGGCCTTAAAGCGGCATTGAAGGAAATCAGAGTGTCAGGGGTGAAGTTATTGCGCCTACCCATTTCCACCTGTAGGGGGCCACCTATCGATCTATTTCAGAGGTGTCAAACGCATTTTTGTCGCGGGCCACATTGTAGTTACGGTTTCCCTTGGAGGGCCGTTACGAATTTTGGGAAACCATATAAAAAAAAACACAACCCAAGAAATCGCACTGAAGTTAGTCGTCCTTTCCTAGCCTTCGATGTTAATCGTCCGGCCGACACTGAAGGGGAAAACTTCCAAGTTGGGTTTGGAACTTTTCTAACACACCCGGTAGATGTTTTTGATGTGCTGTGGGTGACCAACGAGGGAACTCACGTCTCCCTTGCGGACGTAGTCGGGGTCCTTGTAGACGTCCCTGGCCAGACCAAAGTCGCAGATCTTTACCACGTTGTTTTCAGAGAGCAGGATGTTCCTGGCCGCCAGATCTCTGTGGATGCACTGAAAGCGCATGAACACAATTAGTGTCCATGTTTGACAGAGTCTGTGTGGACATCCGCATTCCGAGGTCGTTATTTCACCTTGCGAGAGGACAGGAACTCCATGCCTTTGGCCACCTGGAAACTGTAGCAGATCAGGTCCTCCATGGTCAAGTGGTCATCGTCTGTACTCTCTGAAATGCATGGTGGGTGTTCGAAACGACCAAACCCGGGGTGCAAGAGAAGCTCAAACTGGATTTACGTACCATCCTGAGGATCCAGGTGGCTGCCTGACGCTCTGTCGGCCGTACCCGTGCAGATCTCCAGCTCGGCGATCTTCCCGAGGCCGAGATCACATTCGGTCACATGGTCTTCCACGGATGTCCACCTTTTGCTGTCCGTATTCTTTCTCTGAGGACCACAAAAGAACAAGAATGAATATCCAGTTGCTATCCCGTGCCATCTTGGATCCATCTACCTTGTACGGACTGTATTCCCCACGTTTGCTCTTCAGGTAGCTGGAGAGGTTTCCATGTTTGCAGTACTCAACGATGACCATGAGAGGGCCTTAAAGCGGCATTGAAGGAAATCAGAGTGTCAGGGGTGAAGTTATTGCGCCGACCCATTTCCACCTGTAGGGGGCCACCTATCGATCTATTTCAGAGGTGTCAAACGCATTTTTGTCGCGGGCCACATTGTAGTTACGGTTTCCCTTGGAGGGCCGTTACGAATTTTGGGAAACCATATAAATGTTTCATCACCTGCACATATTACATTTACAGCGCACAACAAATTGATGAATAACTAGTTTTAAAATCAGAAGTAAAGAATAATGACTGTTATTGTAGATTATATATGACAATTTGAAATTTTGGTTCAGACTTTAGCAAACATCATCGAACTTGACATGCTTGATTTGCTTTTGCGGCCCACATAAAATGACGTGGCGGGCCAGACCTGGCCCCCGGGCCTTGACTTTGACACCTGTAATCTATTTCGCTGTGGACCTTCATTTCCACAAGTTATACACTTGTGCAGATCACTCATCTCGTGTTTTACAGCAGTCAATTGAGCTTGGCTGCTATTCCTGGTCCATGCCCAATTATGAAAATTAAATTAATTTGCAATTTTGTGGCAGCCATCTTTCCATAGGTACAGAGATTCAAATTGCTTATATTTGGTCACAATTGGAAAAAATCGAGCACAAGTTTGTCATTGCAGGAATTGTGGAAATGGATAAAAATCAGATTGCGTGGGAGGGAGGTACTTCAGCGGCAACCGGAGTCCAAAATTAAGAATTTTAACAATGAGCTATGATATTTCTGTTGTGCGTTACTCTCATCGGTGTTGTGCAACCACTCACCGCCAGGCTTCGTACAAGCTCCCAAAAGGTTGACCACATTGAGGTGATGTCCGATGTGGATGAGAATCTTCAATTCCGACATCAGAGCTCGATACTCGCTGGACGTGGCGCCCTCTGCCGCACCACATTCGACCAACGTTTGACTTGTCGCCTATTAGACTTTGTACAAAACATCCCATACGCACGCACGGGGTACGACTCACCTTTCAGCATCTTGACGGCCACGGTGGTGCAGGTGGTGATTTTCTCGATGCCGAAAGCGGCGGCTTCCACAACCTGGCCGAAGGCGCCTCGTCCCAGTGGATCACCTTTGAACGCACGACAATATGTCGCCCGTTTGTTTGACTGATGACGTATGCAAGAATACTGGGAAATTTGCTGTCAATGATTTTATATGACATCGCTGGGAACTTTGACTGTGTTTTAAAAGCCGAGGGGGAAAACACGAGCTCGGCTTTTAAAACCCTAGCTGGGAACCTGAACGTGCTTTGAAAAGCAAGGTGGGAATTTGGGAACTCAAAGTGCACCTTAACCCTTTCAGGGACAGCGGTCACTACAGTGGACAGCACATCATGTTACCAGGTGACAGGTTATCATTATTGGTGCATGAAAGGGTTAATATTGCATGACTTTAATAGTCTAAGATAATTTGACATGCTGACTCATTTTTTTTTTTGTCAACGATGAGGAATGCATTGACTCATTTCTTTGGTCCCCTTTGGGGAATGTCCTGATAAATGCCGTAGTCGTTCTTTGATCAATCGTGGCAAAAGTCAGACTAATTTCTTTGGTCAACCTTGGGGCATATAAATGACTCCCGACTCAGAATATGACATCCTGGCTGATTTATTTATTTGTTGTTCAACTATGGGGAATGCATTGACTCATATCTTTGTTCGAACGTGACTAACAGCCAAATTCTGTGCTTAACTATCAGGACGTGTCTGACTCATTTGTTTTGGTCGACTGTGGGAAATGCCCTGATTCATTTCTTTGGTCGACTAAAGGGGAAAATAAACCATCATTTCATCAACAGAATAAACAACTATCAAATCAAATATATATATAAAAAAATACAATAATAATATGTATTCATATACCGAGCTTCAGCCTGTCCCGAGGGAATTCCCACTTGTTTGCGTCGTAAGTGAGCCTCTCACACTGCTCGTCCATGGGCACGTCCTCCGAGTCCAGGATCATGGAGAGGTAGCCCGTCTTAAGATCGCCACCGTTGGGCTGTAACGGAGGGTCATTTGCATTACAGTACGACAGCGTGGCGTGTTTACGGTGAAGCTCCCTCCAGTTAAAAGGGGCCCAATGGGTGTACGTGACTTATGGGAGCAGAAAGTGACCCCGTTGTTTTTGGACACAAAAGACAGCGGTCGCTTCTAATCAGTCATACTTGTGGGGTGTGTGTGTGTGTGTGTGTGTGTGTGTGTGTGTGTGTGTGTGTGTGTGTGTGTGTGTGTGTGTGTGTGTGTGTGTTGTATTCAACCATGTCCTCTACTTGTGTGGGCCGAGCATATGAGGGGCCGGCAGGACACCAGGACCTAATTCAGTCTTGCCTCTCGCACACCCCTGCTAAAACGCATTCTTACGCACAACTGAAACACTCTCACAGGCACTACTGAAACATGTACTGCGTTTCATTAAATCATGTATGGATCTGTATTTTCGACGTGTGAGATGATTCCAGTGGTACGTGTGAGATGATTTCAGTAGTGTGTGTGACAGCGTTTCAGTAGTGTGCGGAAGCAAAAAAATGAATAAATAAAAATCAGTCGTGTATGTGACAGCCTTTTAGTCGTGGCATGACAGCTTTTCAATTTTGTGTGAGAGCATTTTAGTCATGTATGTAAGTGAGAAAGAAAATCAGAAAGATGTGTGAAAGTGTTTTAGTATCAGTCGAGCATATGAGGGAAATCAATTTCATCTTTGTAAGAGTGTTTCAGTAGTGTGTGAGAATGTTTCAGTCGTGTGTGTTTCAGTACTAAATATATGCAGGGAAAAAATATGGCTTTTGTGTGAGAGCATTTTAGTAGTGTGACATGATGGAATTATAACAGTCTGACAGACTTTCAGTAATACATATGAGCAAAACAAATTTCAATAGTGTGTGTGTGAGAGGTAACCCTGAATTATGCCTCAAGCGGCCTCTCGTAGAAGGAAATTCTTACTCTTTTTCTCCCGCGGATGACAAAGACGATCAGGAGCCAGAAAAACATGGCGATGACCACCGAGCCGATGGGAACAATCAGCTCCACGTTGGTCTTTTCCTCCGCACCTGAAACCAGCACAATCAAACAGCAATGGGGAATGTCATTAAACTTTAAAAAAATGACAGACCCTCGAAAACAAACTAAATCCGGCACCTTGTACAAATATATGACAAACAACAAATATCGGGCAAAAATTTGCTGAAAGCATATATTTAGAAAAAAATGTAAATACCGAAAGCAGTTTTTATCGACAACGCCACGTGTGACTTGAAAGGGGATTCAATGACTCAATGAGCTAGCTAGAACGAGAAATGAAGGGATGGCATTCACTTTGTCATCATATTTGGCTTGTGCGTGCATCAGTGTCGGAAATATTTCATATGGTCACAATAATACATTTTCGGCTACCGAGTCAATTGCACAAAGAAGTCTCTCTTTCTTTCTCGCGCGCGCTAATTTGTGGTGTCTGGCTCGTTAGTAGCGGCGCCGCTCCCGTTCGAAGAAAGTCCACATTCTGTTGGCAAGACCTGGGTCACGTAGACCGGTTTGTTTGTGTGTCTCTCGGTGGTCCGCTTGGACAGAACAGCTGAGGCCGGGTCCAGCAAGCCCCCCTCCTCCCCAAAGCCCCTGCCCGCACGCACACACACCACCCGTCTCTTTGTCCTCTATAGTCCTCCCATTGTTTTAGATTCAGAAACTCCCGGGAGGTGAAGCGCACAAACGGAACTAGCTTCCTGTCATGAGGAAGTTGTTCTCCTTTCACATCTTTGATATTAAATAATTTAAAAAAATATTTGCCTTGAGGCTAAATATAAATAAGACGGTTTAGCCAAGAGGCTTCACTCTGAACAATATATCCTTATTAAAATCAACAAACAGGAAACAGTGCAACCAATTTTGGAATGCTCGCAATAAAATTCCGTCGCTAAGCAATACATGAACCTAAATAACACACCATTATAGCAGCATGACATGGTACAAATACAGACACCATATTGTCATTTTTTGGGGAAGTTTTTGGGCAGATTTTCTTGATCAGTTTTTGTCACGTTTTTTCTTTTTTGGGGGGAGCGATACATTACTGACTGCTTTTTGTCCATTTTTTGGTTGTAATTTTTGTTTTCTGTTCATTTTTTGGTTTGCCAAAATTTGGGGATGATTTGTGGCCATTTTGTCCATATTTGTCATTTTTTTGTCATCTTTTTTTTTTTTTTGCTATTCAAAAAATATTTTTTTTGTCAGATTTTTCCCCAATTTAACTTTGTTTTTGCAATTTTTGTACTTTGTTTTTCTGTCATATTTGTCTGTTTTTTGCTAGTTTGTGTTAGTTTTTTTTGACAGATTTGTTATTTTGGGGGCCAGAAGAGAAAGAGAGAGAGAGAGATAGAGAGACAGAGAGCTTGCGAGTGAGAGAGAGAGAACGAGAAAGAGAGAGAGAGAGAGAGAGAGAGAGAGAGAGAGAGAGAGAGAGAGAGAGAGAGAGAGAGAGAGAGAGAGCTTTTGACAGATATATCCCACCAATTTTGCTAGATTTTTGTCAGATTTTTACTAGATCTTTTTTTGTATTTCTAGTTTTTGTCATTTTTGGGGGGAAAGGTTTTGGGGCATTTTTTTTTACAATCACTTTTTTTTCTCTTTTGTCCTACATTCAAATCCTGTCTGATTTATATCACTTTTTTTTTTTAAGTTTACAATCAATACCTAAAAATATGACAAAACACAAAACATTCAAACAAAACTTTAAACTAACTCATTTGCTGATGATTAAATGTATTCAAGTGTGCAAATTATGACAGCCATGATGTGCTCGAACCAACCAATCAGAAGACAGATGAATGCTGACCTCATCGAGGGCCAGCGCTCTGGCCCTGTGAGGTCAAATTTGTAAATCTGATCAGTTAAAGAAACAAAACCATTGCAAATATAACTTAAGCTAAAGAAAAATCCCAGCATTACTTTCTAGGGGTACTGAGCAGATTAGATTGACATGGCAAAAAATCCAACATCGCTAACGGTTCAACTCCATGCTGACCTTCCGTCGTCAAGATGATCTGTGAGGTGTCGCATCCGCGGCTGTTGCAAGCAGAGCAGCTGTACAAGCCGGCGTCATCCTTCTTGACACGCTTGATGGTCAGCACGTGACCACGCCGGCTCAGGATCACGCCTGAAAAGGCGTCACGGGGGTAAGTTGAAAAAGGCGTACCGGGAAATAATTCACCAGTTCAAAGTGAAGGCGGGTCTTACCGGAGCCTTCCACCACTGTGTGGTTGTTTTTGGTCCACACCACCTTTGGGTCGGGCGTGCCGGCGGCGGCGCACAGCAGCGTGACGGTGGCGCTCACGTTGACTTTTTGGTCGGTGAGGTTGTTGAGGATTCTCGGAGCCTCGAGACCTGCAATGCATTTACACGACGGTGAACTGAAAGTCCGTGAGTCATAAATGAGCTCCCAAAAAGTTTTGTAATTGCCAGCAGATACCACAGGATGGCGATGTAGCCCTATTTTGTTTTAGATAAGGCTATGGCCTGATTAAATGAAGCCCCGATCCTCACTTCATTGTTGTCAACATTGTTGCATAGTTGCTTGGCACCAAGATGCCACAAGTGGGTGCCAAAGGAATAGTTTATATCTTAAAAAGCAGCAAACAAGGGAGGAAAACATTTCTTGTCAGTTCAGTTTTTGTTTCAAGTTTTGTCATTTTTTGTCTGAATTTTTTTTATCGTATTTTTTCAAATTTTTGGAATATTGAACACTTGGAATTCTGTTGTCTAAGTTTTGTCTGATACTAGTCTGCCAGATTTTGCACAATTTTTGATGATTTTTTTTGCAGTTTTTGCCCTTTTTGGCTGTTTTTGTTTATCAGTTTTGTATTTGGCTTACTCTTGGTATTTGTGAAATTTTTGTCAAAAAAAAAAAAAAAAAAAAAAAAAAAAACAAATAATAATAATAATAATAATAATAATAATATTCAGAAAAAAACACAAAAAACATGTCGTTTGACCTCTGAGCGACAGGTGACGCAGCAGACAAGTCCTCTCCCTGGTCTTGAGGTTCTCCACCTGGCAGGCATAGAGGCCCTCGTCGTGGCGGGAAGCGTTGGGCAGCAAGAGCTCCAAACTCACGTTGGCGCCGCGCTCGGCGTTGAACGCATCGCGGCGCAGCAGCGGCGTTGGCGGCAGCGCCAAAGAGCGGCAGGGCTGCACGGCCGACGTCCGCTCCCACCCGGACTCATTGGACACGTGGAACCAAGCCAGGTTGCCGTAGATCAGCCCGTCGGCCTTGCAACGCAGAGCCACGTGCTCCTCCTCCAGGGGTTCGTTGGACGGCAACATGCTCAGCTCCAGGCCGCCTGTCGACAAAAGTGGCAGAAGTACTCACAGTCTGTACTTAAGCAGGCGTACAAATAAATAAATAAAAAGTACAGGTACTGATTCAGTATCCTGTACTTGCGTCAGGAAAAAAAAAAAAAAAAAAAAAAAAGAGTACAGACTTCATTTAGTACTGAGAAGAAAAAAAAAACGAGACAGGATAGTCAGAAGTGATGCCAGAAGGATCGTACTCACGTGTCACATGGAAAAAAATAACGCGGGAATCCTTTCCCATTTTGTTGGCGGCAGTACATCGGTACAGGGCGTGGACCTCTGCTTTCTGGAACTTCAAGGAGCTCACCATTTTCTGTCAGCCAAAAAACATTTTGGTGGGTTGGGGTTTTTTTTTTTTCCCCTGGCCCATTTTCATCTTTAAAATGTAACCCAGAAGTTTCATGTTATTCGGTTTTGGTTGGTTATTCCTAACCCTAAATCTATTCTCCTTTTGACGTGCCACCTGGAAAAGCGAAATTTACACCTTGGCCCATGTGTCAAATGAGAATGCGGTGGAGATAAATTTCTGTCTTGGCACATTTATCAAAGTCTTCACCATAATGAGACCAGAAGGTTTAGGTTTTGTGGCATTTGGTTCTGGTTTAATTATTCAAAAAACAAAATGTTATCCTATTAACTAACCAACCAAAAAAACAAAATTTGATGGGGGGGGGGTTTCCTAGCCCTTGTGTCAAGTGAGGCCGATGTGAAGATGGACCTGCACCTATATCCACATCCACACAAAAAGTAAGGGCTAATTTTTTGGCCTATGTCCCACATAAATAGAAAGTTTCATGGTTTTTGGTTCTGGTTGTTCTAACCCTAAAATTGGACGTGTGTAAAAGGGACGATTGAGGTGTACCTTCTGGTTGTGATCCACATCAGAGAAGATCCGCTGCACGGGGTTGTGTGCGGTGCCGTTGTCAAGGTCACGCCAAGCTTTGCAGTAGACTATTTGCGCCTCTGACTTTGGCAGGCCTGGCCTGCATGATGAAATATTGAGCAAACAAAACAAAACAAAAAAAGACAAAATATGTCATCAACAACAAAAAAAAAACCTGCAAAAACGAAAAATGTAAAACTGGTGGCGAAGCAAAATTCTCTAAAGTTGACAATGGTTTTCATTCTTTGGCCCACGTGCCAACCCTCTTTCAAACATTTTACAAAAATAAGACAGCAGACCGCTGCTTCCCTTTGATTTCATGTGATTTCCTCGATTACCTTGATTTGCGCAATTGCATTTTGAAACTGAAATGGGTTCTCAAGGACGAGCGAAAAAGATAGCCGGGAACACAACAGGAAACCTCGCGCGGGACGGAGGCGAGGAAGCAAGCAGCGGGATGTGCGGACAGCAGATAAGGAACCTGGTACTTGCGCTTGTGAAACCGCTTTGTATCTGATATACCTTGGCCAACTCAAAATGGACCCCGTGTGGCCTTCACGACGCATCTGGTCATTGTCTCTATGTGTTTTTCTCCAAACTTCCTTTCCCAAACTCACACGAAAGCCTCCGGACAGTCGTCTGTGGACATCCACTGCCACTGGATGTGTGTGGGTGTGGGGAAGCCCCGGGCGGTGCATCGCAGCGTGGGTCTGCTGCCATACAAAAAAACGTCCGTGTCCACCGCCACCTCCTTCTCAATGATGTGGGGAGGAACTGAGAAGGGAGGAAAAGTACGATTATAGACATCGCAGGACGAACAGTCGAAATGGCTGAGCGGCGATTCTGATGATGACGTGCCATTGACCAGAAGCTGGAACGATCTCCTTTGCTCGTCTTTGGTGATTTTGTTGCTGAGGACGATGGTGTAGTTCCCCGCGTCGGTTTCGGTGACGCCGCGAAAGATGAGGGCGTCACTTCTCTGCTTGATGCGGTGGTCTTCTGTCAGTGGGAGGCCGTTTTTTAACCTGCATTGACAAAGATCCTTAACCTTAAAGAACACGTATAAATAATAATGATAATAATACATTTTTTAAAAATTAACCAATCAACTTCTTTTCGCATTTAAATCCAATTGCTGTTTACTCAAAAGCAGATTTTTTTTTTTTTGAGGAACTCATAAGTTTAGTGACAAGGGTGCAGTGTTGTTCTTGCTTCTATGGCATTTTGTTTTGGAATATTTTACATTGGGTTTATTTTTATATGCATCAGTTCATTTCGGTTGAACTCCAAATTTTGTTCGACTTGAAGGCATACGAAGCATTTTGGTTGACCTCGAATTGGTGCATATTGTTTCAGAACATTTTCGTCGAACTCCAAGGCATACTGGTCCAGAATTTTTCATTTCAACACCAAGTTGTGTTTGGGTTTTGAGGCACATTGTTCCACAAAATCCAATATGTACCACTTTGGGGGCATCAAACATCATAAAACAAGTCAGATATACTGATTACACTCAGTTTTGTGTGACTTTGAGGTCTATTTTTCCAGGCTGGACTCCAAATCAGACCACCGATGGGAGTGTTCCAATGTACTGTCCTCATAAACGCATTATAGGTATTATCCAAAAACAGTAAAATATGATTTGATTGAACAGAGACTTGACTTACCATTTAAAGCTTGGCTCGGGGTATGCCGTGTACCTGACGGGTATGGAGGTGGACGACAAACTTCCCACGTTCACCTCCCACACTTTGGTCCACGGCTCCTTTATGTCAATGAACGGCTTCTCTGGAAACGGTCCCGAATTCAGCGCGTGAATCTTTTGGATTCGATTTTCTTCTGAACAGACATACCGTAGACCTTGAGAAAGGCCGAGGCTCTTTTCTCCATGGCTCCACTGGAGGCCGTGCAAGTGTATTCGCCTGTGTGCTCCACCGTCACGTTGTCCACCACCAGTTTGTTGGACAGCTCCAGAGAGTCCCACAGCTTCTTCTTGTGCGGCGTCATGTGAGCCGCCTTAGAACCGTTGCCCACCATCTGAGGAAAGATAAGTTGAGGATTGAAAAAAAATAAATAAAACAAACGAGGTACCGTAGTTACGCTAGTGAGAATCCAGTTATGGTGTTTCAATAGACATCCGGACGATAGCCCAAACTAAGCTAGCATTAGCTTTAAACCTTCAAACCATGAGCTGGAAGAACATTTTGTCGCAGTAAAGTCCATTTCTGGTTTTATGGTTGACTCTAGAACGGCGATTCGCACGTGGATGATTTTAGACTCTATATTACGTCGATCGCGATCGACCGCTCGCCCGCAGACTGGTCCCAAGTCGATCGCGAGGGGTGTGGAGGAAAAAAAACAAAAAAACATTTGTGTGTCTCTGTGCAAGTTGTTAATATATTTTTTGTTTTAATGCACACCGCAGCCTAATCATCCTATCAGTCTCACTTTCACAAAAAGTATTTAAAAAATAAAATAAAATAAAAAAGGTCAGGTTTAACCTACGGTGGCGAGTCACCTGCATCACCTGAAGTTGGTAGCTCAGCAGTCTGGAATTGCAGCTTGCGATCACAACTATTGCGATAAAGCCCTTTTCATTATTATTATTATTATTATTATTATTATTATTATTATCATTCAAAGGTCATTTTGTGTACAATTCACCGATTGCACTCGCAAAGAAGGGCAATCTGGAGGGCAGAGAGAAGCATTTTAAAACGGTACACGTAATTTACGATAGTCCATATGCGCGCGTGTGCGGTAACGGATCGATCGCAGGAGGTTGGTTGATCGAAAAGTGGATCTTGAGTCAAAAAAGGTTGGGCACCCCTGATTTAGAGCGCCTCGCTTGTTTCGTTCCAGAGGTTTGCTACCATCCAATTTTACTGAATAGTTTGACTCTGGAACAAATTATTTTGAGTGATATAATCCTGAATAGGGGCAATCGTTTGGCGATTGGAAACATTTTGAGGTTAGTATGGGCCATTGGTAGTGTAGTGGTTCACAGAGCGGTACAGAAAGCGTGTGGGTTGCATCCTGACCAAAGGCTGGCCTGCATGTGTCCAGTTGAACTCGATGCCCACGTTGAGTTCAGTGTACGCGGTACAGCTGAGCACCAGACGCTCCCCGACGGACAGCCTAACTTGCGCGGGGGTCAGGGTGAGGTCGTAGATCTTGTATCCTGCGGAAGCAGGTGGGCGGGCGTTTAGGGAGGGAAGGGTGCACACGGACAGTCAGCGGGCTGGCTCCACGCTTCCATTGTTCTCCCGAGATTTGTCCGATGTTTTTTTTTTTTTTTTTCTCACCCACGACGGCCACCACATAGAGGGGGGACTTGAAGATCTCGTCGCCAATACGAGTCTGGCAGGACACCACGCCGGCATAGCTGATCAGATGACTGGGGATGGTGAAACCAGTCCTGGCGTCCCACAGGGAGTCTTTCCCGTCCGGATGGAACTCTTTGTTTGGATACTTCTGACAGACAGGGAGGTGTCCAGTTTAAACAATCCTAATTGTCATGTATTTCAAATTAACATCTGAGATTTTTTTTTTTTTTTGGTATTATTTGTGAAAAAAACCAAACCAAAAAAAGTACATTCATAAAAACAACCAAATCTGAGATGCACATGCTTTTATTTGGACATTCATGTGCAAAACTGTCGATTTCAAGTCAAAAGAAACAATCCCCTTACAGTATGAAGTGTCACGTTGAGGTCCTCCAGAGATCCCCGACACGGTATGACCACCCGCTCACCTTCCCGGATGAACACCACCTCATATTCCTTCTCGGACGGAACAAACGGCACCTTGTCGTCTGAAACCACAAACAGACTCTCTCAATCGTTGCATTCAAGTGCCCCGGTCCCATCATGAACCCACGACCGCACCATGAACAAAAACGTGAACCGTCGCGGTCGTCTTGCCGCCTTCGACTTTGAGATCGCGGTAGGAGCACCGGTACTGTCCCGTTTCATTGACAGTGGCGTTGGTGATCCGGAGCTCTGTGCAAAACAGTCCCGACCCGCTACAGTCGCTGATGGAAAAGCGAGCGCTGGTGGGTGGGGTGGTCCAACGCAGGTACTGGCGACCTCTGTGGAAGACCAGCATGGTTTCATGGGGCGGCTTTTCATGGGGTGACACTGGAGGGCGTTGAGGGAGGGGTCATCAAAAGGCAGACGTACCTGCATGTGAGCTCCAGGTTGTCAGACTTGTTCATCCTGTGGACGCCGTGGATGTTCAGCAGTGGCGGGTCCGACGTGAAGCGCAGCTCGAGAGCTTTCGAGGGGTAAAGTAAGGAATAGTGAGTTCAGTGAATAGTCGGGGTCCAACAAAAACAAACCCTCTTGCATCGGAAAATGATTTTAAAGATGTGAGGGCATCATATCGTTGAGTAACCCATGCATCAAGATGCATATCGAGTCATGAGAGATGTACACCCTCTACTGAAGAGCATATCACCGATTTTTCAGCGATAGTAACAGTAGTCATTGTTCCTTCAGAACACAGCAAATGTATGAAGTGTTCAAAAATAAAACAGTCCCTGACACCAGTTTCACCAATTGACACAAAATTGGGTGGACGTGTCTACCATGACAACACCCATGCACAAATTGAGCAGGCAGGCTGCCATTTTTAGTTTGACTCTGACATTTCGGAATTGGTAGCGCCCCCTGGAAGATTTCTTTTTTTTTTAACTGCCCCGACACCTGTTTCACCAATTGACATTGAATTGGGTAGCTATGTCATCATCAGAGAACGCAAAAAAAAAAAAAAATTCTCATGGACCCACACTGGAAATTGAAAAAAAAAATTGGCCATTTTGGTTTGGAGCCGACATTCAAGGTCTCATATTTTGACAAATCCAGCAGCCTTGTCACATCAATTTGATGTTGAATGTTGGATTTTTATGTCATATTAATGTTGAATTGACATCAGATGCCCACTGGGAACAACACATGCTTGGACGTTCCCCCAAATGAGCCCCACTTGGAAGCAGGTGGACTCGGGTCTATGGGAGGTTCGTGGACATTCGTTGAGACAGTTGATGGGCTTCTTCCAAACCAAACTCATCCAAGCATGCTTTTATAGATCATGCTGTAAAACAATCGGGCCTTCCCCAAATGGCTCCCGCCAGGTTAGAACCAAACAAATCGTTGAGCACATGGGTCTAATCCGACCTCCGATTTATTTGTTTAGCGCCTTCAATATTATCACATTACAACATTCGTTTCAGCAATTAATATAACTTTTTAAAGTTTTAACGCCATGTTTATGTGCGCTTGTGGCAACTAACTTCACAGCACGGCAACAAAATGGCGGATCTGTGTCAAAACAGGAAGCCAAGAAAGATGGGCCAGGTCAGGCTCAATAGGCCCGGACCCAAGCGCGGCCTAGGTGGGGTTCCTGTTTCGGAGGATACGTGCTGACCCCCACCCACCCGACGTCAGCAGACATTGTGTGTGGAAAAAAAAACAAGTCACAGGGAAACACAATAGAATCTTGCTCTAAGTGTTTTATACGTAAAACAAATTGAATAGACACTAAATTAAACATTAAAACAAGTCTTAATAATCGTTTTATACGTAAAACAAATTGAATAGACACTAAATCCCATTAAAACAAGCCTTAATAATAATGAAATGGCCTTACCAGCAACATAGCAAAGTTCCAGACTAAATATAACAGCAAAAAGTGCCCAAGTCATTATTCCACAAATGGACTCCAGGAATATTTTGGGAAAAAGCTGAGAGAGGCAAATAAAATAATCCTGTCAACACCGATCCATCGAACCGGGTGTGCTGAAGAACCAGCGGCCAGTGCTCAGCAGCAGGTCCCCATGGAGGTGGATGTGCAACTGAGAGGAGGGGACGGGGGGCACAGACGAAGGCACACTGGAACTGACCAGCCTGCAGGGGAGGAGCATCCCAGGCTGAGTGGACACCTCCACTTGCTGAACCAACCGAGGAAGTCGCTGAGCCATAACAGGTATCCCGCGTTGCATTTCTCACAAACATCCCACAAAACGTAAAACAGTCTATAAAGCGCTCGTCGGTAAGGCCGCACCCGATCTACGCTCTCTGCTCACTGTGCATACCACCACCTTCCCACTCTGCTCCAGCAATTTTATTCACCTCTTCAAACTCAAACTGTGCACTTCTTTTCAATTTGCAACGAAGAATAAAACTCAGTTCATTCATCCCAAAATTGTCATTAAAAAGTAAGTAATAAGGGAGACTGTGTGTGATTGCTGCACTTCTTCTTAGCCTGAACCTTTTATTCACCATGTGATGTAATGTGTGAAGGATAAATAAAGGTTAACTGAATAAAAAGACAAACTAGACTATGAACAAACATGCCCCTTTTCCTTTCAACCATAAAACCAGCAAAATAGCCAGATTGGTCATGAAATGTTTCCTCTTTTGTGTTTCACGCAGAGATTCCACAGAGTAGCGATCCTGGGTATACAACACCGATTAAGTATTTGGAGAATACAACAACATAACAATGTACATCACCCCTGGGGCTTTATGAGGAACAAATACACCAGCATGATTGCCAACTATTGCCACAACTTCACAAGTGGGGTTGCAGCTTGGCATCGTCAACAAGAGGAGGGAGGACACTGGCTCCGCCTGGGAGGGAGGGGAAGCAGGAAACAGTCCACACTTCCTCCGGCAGGATGTTGCGTTCCTCCAAGAGGCATCCTGGAATCTAGAATCTCAAAGGGCTCGCATCTTCCATGTTGATGGACAAAAGTACAGAGAAAAAGAGAGACCGCTCAGCAAAAAGGAAATGCGATGACTGACATATGAAGGCCAGCATGGTTGATAATAATCCTGGCCTTTGGATCAAAGCAAATATATTGTGTGTGTGTGTGTGTGTGTGTGTGTGTGTGTGTGTGTGTGTGTGTGTGTGTGTGTGTGTGTGTGTGTGTGAGTGCGTGCGTGCGTGCGTGCGTGGGTGCGGGCGCGCGGGC